TGTTCCCTTAATTTTTTTGAGCAGTGTACAAACGCTACATTACCTCAGTAATAAGGAATGATCAATCCATTCATACTAAATGATCAGATCAGTGATTCACTGATGCAGGAGTCAGTTACAGCTCAAGGAAGTTTGAAAAACATTGAGTTGTAATACAGTAAACTACATTACCTGTTCAGGTTGCAATCCAAGCTATTTAGCATATTTCCATTGAATGTAATTAAGTTAACAATCACTGATTGTTTGATGAAAATAATAACATAATGGCACGTAAAACCAGAATACTTTGTGTTAGACTATGAGACAAGGACGTTTCAACAAACGACTCCTTCATTACAACATAAGATGTGGTTAGGGCATGTTGATTAGGAGGGCCAGCCATAACTGTGGAGTCATTGTTTGCAGTAGGACAGGAATAATATGTCTCGTCATTGATAGCACATCATGAATCAAAACAGGAACTGCCAGCTTTATACTTGTAACTACATCAGAGCATGCAAAGTTCGGGGTCACTTTATCTAGCCAGCCTTGGGTCCATTTCCTTCTGTACAGTACTGTAACGAAAGTACACTGTGGCTTTGGGTCTTTCTACATTTGCAATCCTTGACACAACTTCCTTCTTAGTGAGAGATGATTGTGTGGAGAACAAGCCTTGTTTTTGAAACAAAGTTAGTCAAAACAGCAGTATTTTCTTACCTGGGCCTGTATTCATAACACGTCTCAGAGTAGGAGTGCTGATATATGATATCAGCCTTTTAGCTCATAACAAATAAGATCACATGGACGGGGGGGCTCGTATCCACAAAGACTGAGTAGCAGTGCTGATCTAGGATCAGTTTCGCCTTTTAGATCATAATGAATAAGATTGTATGGACAGATCCTAGATCTGAGACGCTTTATGAATATGGGCCCTGATCTCTTTATGAATATGGGCCCTGATCTCAAAAGGACAGAACAAAACTGGAAGAGAGTCTACTTTCCACTTCATTCAACCTCTGGATTGTTCGTGATTCGTTGCCACACATTTCTAATAACTGTCTTATGCCTTGAATTACTCAGATATCACCCTGAACAAACTCGTGGAAAAGCTTGACTAACAGAGAGATAGAGCTCCGAGCAGTGGTGGAAAAAGTACCCAATTGTCATACTTGCGTAAAAGTAAAGATACCTAAATAGAAAATGACAAGTAAAAGTGAGTCACCCAGGAAAATAATATTTGAGTATCAAAAGTAAATGTAATTGCTAAAATATGTTTAAGTATCCAAATTAAAAGTATAAATCATTTCAAATTCCTTATATTAAGTAAACCAGACGGCACCGTTTTCATGTTTTTTAATTACGGATAGCCAGGGGCACACTCCAACACTCAGACATCATTTACAAACAAATAATTTGTGTTTAGTGAGTCCGACAGATCAGAGGCAGTAGAGATGACCAGGGATGTTCTCTTGATAAGTGTGTGAATTGGATGATTTTCCTGTCCTGCTAAACAAGTACTTTTGGGCGTCAGGGAAAATGTATTGAGTAAAAAGTACATTATTTTCTTTAGGAATGTAGTGAAGTAAAAGTTGTCCAAAATATATAAATAGTAAAGTACAGATACCCCAAAAAAACTACTTAAGTAGTACTTTAAAGTATTTTTACTTAAGTACTTTACCCCACTGGCTCCACGTTTGTTTAAAAAGCTCTCATCTGAATGACAGATGAAATAATTGAATCATATCACTGGTAGATTGAGTTTCAATTCAACTGTAGGACTAAATTAAATTAAAATTCACAAAAGGCCAGAGTTGTCATGGCAGCGTGTGCAGGTGACACCGTTCATACAGCTAAGCGTAGGACGGAACCACTAAACCTAACAAAAGCTTCACACCAGTCTAGGTTCTTTTGATCATGACTGCCACTTGGCTGGCTAAATAGACCCATTGAAATAAATACACAAATATGAAAGGAAATACCCCTATTTTAAAATGTTTCAAACGTCCTTTTCTGATGTACGGGGAAATAAATTGGGTGCCCACTTCAACAGACTGGATTGATCCACTGTACCGATGAATTAAAATAATCCAATAATGATCTCGTCACTATTAAACAGCACGCCCACTTTGTACGGAAAGAGGGTTCTCAGCAAACACAGAATGAGAAATCAAGTTTTTCCAAAAATTGTCATTTCTAATTAAACCATTAAACTTGATCCTTTAAGCCATTTTCATTACACTTACAGGTTCAATAATATAGATTGAAGAACAATTGCTTTAACAAATGTACAACATATCTTTCCCCCTACCAATACACCTTGTACTAATAACAGTTTTTGATATGCAAGTAAATGTCCATTTTGCCAGCGCCCATGTCAGTCACACTTGGCAAGATAGCACAAGCGGATCACGGTGTAGGCTACATTGCTGGCCCTTCCCAGTAAGAAGGAAACGACACCGCGGACTGATAAGACTATACACACCCAGCTCCTTATCTCAGGAAAACCCCAATCACCTCACATTTCCTTCAGTGCTTTCCTGTAAACCTGACATGATATTCTTGCATGTACAAGATTACGCCATCAACCACTAACCACACTTAGGCAACCACACGTAACAGATATCTTCAATTTCACTTTGAGACAGCAAAACAAACAGCCAAGATGATAGCTTGCATGTTGACATAACTTTTATTAAAGTCTTCAAAAGATAATCTACAAACAGTGATACCAGTGAAGCAGTCGTGTATACAGTTTGACCGGTGTCACCGCTCAACAACAGTAGTAAGATTGGAATTTATTAAAATACTGTCCTCTACCACATTGGATACATCTTAAATACAAACATAATGCAGAGCAAACGAAACAGCAAGATCAAACTGATTCAAAGAAGCATTCGTTTAATTCTCCACTGTAAACTTAAGATTATGATTTATTTTTTACCATCCAGTACAATTCGTGTTTTATGTATTCATTCCTTGGAAGTCTTAACAGTTCTAGCAGAAAGTGTTTTCTAAAGCAGCACACACACCAAATATTTGAATGTCGGAGGCTCTTTTGACTTCTCTCACATGCACCTTTTTGGTTAACATTTTGGTAGAAATTGGAACTGGGAGGCGTCTTTAATCTAAGGCTAACGGCCCTGATGTGGAGAAAGGTCGACACCATGAGAAAAGGCTGATTAAAAACAAACATATACATTGCCCCACATTAACCTCAATTATTGATTTTTCATATCTGAGATATTTGATAATACACTTCTGACAATAATGAATGCCTGGAATGTTGATGGCTTGACAGAAGAGACGTAATGACAAAATAAACAATATCTTACATCTACCAAGTAAAAATGACCAGGCGTTTCCACCAAACACTCGATCGGAGTTTAGAGAATTATTGTATCCATTCAGTCAAACTCTGGCTGTGTGCCAGCAGTTACATCCTGCCATACTACAGGAGTCATCATACGTGAGTGTGTGTAGATGTATGTGTGTGTAAAGTGTGTTTAAGTTGGGGAGTTGGACGAAGGGTTCGGTTCACCCCTTGTGCCTTTGGACACAGAGGGACATCGGTCCTAGCCCACCACAGTGACTGGGTTAAGGGCCAGGACGTCAAACAGCGCTCACCCATCCCTAGAGAGGGGTGGTGCACCTCTGAGCAAGACACACAAGAGGCGCCTTGTAAAAGCAGCAGAGTAACCCCGCTGTCTAGTAGGCTGTCCCATAGAACGTAACTCACCTCACCTTATTATCTCGCCTTGTATGTCCACGCTACAGGCCCCCTCAGTGCATCTTTTGGCTCAATCTTTCAGACAGTTAGCCATATTGACCCACTGTTTCCTGAGAAGAGATTGGTCTTGGATGTAGAATTTGAGAGGGAGCCAGGTTGGCACAGAGCTACGAGGTGAGAGGGAGGGAGAGATGGAGATATCTAAGATGAAGAACAGGACAGCCGGCTAAACGAGCAGGGTTTAACCTCAGCAGCCCGCCTGGGTGATGTCACCGCCCGAGCTCTTGGTCACCTCCATGGTGGTGAAGATCTGGAAGAGAAGAAGCAGAACGACCGTTGATCTCCGTGACGTGGTGAGGCGCTGCGACTCGTTCGCAAATTGAAAAACAACCGATTAAAGCTACAACCATAGAGATGGCTAGAGGGGGTACTTGCCACAAAATACTGTGATAACATTAGCCTTGAACATTATGGCAATAGTTACCTGTGGTCCTAACGGTCAGCTGTTACAGTGGTTAGTTTTCCAGCCTTTAGTTGACAATAATTACATTCTTGATTTGATAGGTTCCAAGGTCAAATAACCTGTCGTGGCTCACTGCCAGATCGACTCAGGCAATTAGAAAAAGTTCTGTGAGTTACTTTTTTTGCACCATGGAGGGACTTGCATGTTATACATTCACGTCTACAAAAGCAGTCATAGAAGCGATTAATGGGAAAATAGGATGTGCGCCCTCTATCCATCTCTATGCCTACAACCGATTCAAGGAGGAGAGAAAACGAGGGCGAAAGGAAGGGAGCAACTCTCTGGAATGAAACGCGGCCTGCAGCTGCGATCAGTCTTACCTCAGCGCAGGTGGGGTGGATGCCGATGGTGTTGTCCAGCTGCTCTTTAGTCAGTCCGCACTTCATGGCCGCGCCATAGCCCTGCGTCACCTCGCCTGCGTTGGGCCCCAGGTAGTGGAACCCGATCACACGGTCCTGCAGAGAGAGAGTGATGTTACTGATAAATCAAGTGTATAGGTCATCTACTAGTTCATTATGTTAGCCAGACCCTGCAAATAGGAACTTGTATTCTTCTCCAATATGGCTATTGAATTTGACATGTGTGTCCGTTGTTATTCTAAATAGCTTTCAGAAACATGGTGTCAAAGTGACAAGGTATTCACATAGCTTCTTAACCAGAGACAAGGGTGGAAGGTAGGTTCCTACATCAAAATCATTTCAGGTTTCCTGAACTCTATACAGCAAAAGTGACAATTGCAGTATCCATGAATCAAACAGGTAGTCAGGTGAGTTAGGAGAGGGGGGTTCCTACATTGTCCAGTTTATTGCAGATGATCTTGGAGTAGCACTTGTTGTTGTCCCTGTTGGGGATGGTGAACTCCAGAGGCCAGAAGAGACTGTGGTACACCTACACAGTTAACAAAAGACACATTAAATAAACATACAGAAAGGGCAGCATGTACATGTATGTTTCTGGACTGTCAGAGGGTGGAGTTATAACTAGGGCCCTGTGTTTTGCGCAAGCATGTGACATATTTTTATTTAACCATTATTTCAATATTTTTCATCAAACTGGTCCACTTTTTATGTCAGATGGTCCAGCACCATCCTCAGACAATATATTTCATTTAAGGTGCAATTGTCATTTCTGGATAAGGCTTAAAATACAGGATAAAATACTGCTATGTCACATGATTCCCCCAAAACATTCTAACCGCATCAGTCTCCACGTGCATATGTTACATTACGGTGTAGAGTTCTTCATTGCGGAAACACTAACACCACAACATTAACCTGTGATACGTTAGGCCTATATGTAATAGATAGTAATATACAGTCAGTGGACCGTTTATTAGGTACACCTATCTAGTACTGGTCAGACTGACTGGATGTTTTTTGTTTGTCGCACAATTCTCTGTAAACCCTGGACAATATGAAAAGCCAAGGAGGCCGGCCGTTTCTGAGATACTGGAACCGGCGCGCCTGGCACGACGATCAACGATGCTCAAAGTCGCTTAGGTCACTCGTTTTGCCCAGTCTAACGATCAATCGAACAGTAACTGAATGCCTCGATGCCTGTCTGCCTGCTTTATATAGCAAGCCATGACCAAGTCACTAACGGTCTGTAGGAGCGAACCATTTGTGAACCGGGTGGTGTACCTAATAAACTGTATATGATAAGTATCACTGTCTAATAGCTGGCGAGTCAATATCTACATTTAAACTGGTATGCTAGCTAGAATGCATATTGGAGCAGAGCCTGAATGTCAGTTGATATCGTTCCGATGTGTAATATTCAGTGCAAGTGGTCTGGTAGTGTGTGATGTGGCTGTAGTACCACTAGGCTGGAAGTGGACTCTGTGTGTGTGTGTGTGTGTGTGTGTGTGTGTGTGGCGTCAGTAGCTACCTCCAAGTTGTCTTGGCCGTACAGCTCAATAGCTTTCTCCTCAGAATGCCCACAGGCGCCATACTCCAGAGGGGTGAACACAGTGGTGGGAACATTTACGTAGTCACACTGCACACGACAACATTCAACCGCAGTTAATAATAACAAACAAGACATGACAATGTACAGTCTGTACCAGGTGGTGTCACATCTGAGGTTCACCAGACAGAATATACTACAGTATGATGATAGAAGCTAGGGAACATTTTTACAGGGTTTTTCCTAGTTTTTACATTTTAGGTGTGGAGCAAAGGCCCCACCATATAACATCAACGAGGGCCAACATTACGATTTTCATTTGAACACAAGCCAATCTTATTAAAGCAGAGGGACAACAGAGCGAAGGGTCATACTGACAAACTGCCATGGTCTATCAACAGAAAAGCACGTCAACTCCCAAAGTGGTGAATTGAGGCCCGCTGTCCGATAATTACCTTGAGCGAGGCTCCCGCGTACAGCCGGCGTGCCAGCAGCTTGCCAGCCTGGATGGCCACAGGCGTCAGCTCCCACTTGCCCTCCAGGATGTCTCCGATGGCGTAGATGTGCGGCACGTTGGTCTGTTCCTCGTCGTTCACCGGGACCTTACCGTTCCTGAGAGAGTGGAAGCTTAGCTAGGGTAAAATGACAGGCGACTCACATTTGACTAATTATAGATCCCCATAGAGCCACAAAGGGGCAGTGGAAGAGCCACATGCGGCTCTGGAGCCACAAGTTGCAGATCCCTGGTCTAGACTAATTACGCATTTATGTATGAGAACAGGGTTGCAGAATACATTGATTTTGGTGCCTATTTGATCTTTATTATGCAGCGGATGGATTGAAAAATGTTTAGGGCATCGAGGACACAGAGTAAAGTGAAAGGTCCAACAAGTACATGATGTAGTCAATAACTCCCACTTGATGATTAAGTGGAATACAATTGTAAAGTAAATATTTTTAAATCATTCCCAACGTGCACTCTACATTAAGCTGAGACTATTTGGTGACAATATTCACACTTCGCAAATGAAAAGTATCAGATCTTGTGAAAGACACTCTCAATGTAATGTGATGTGAAAGAATGTGATGTAATGTGACCATCGGTTGAGAAATGTCTCTATGCAAAGAACTCCGTGTTCCGTGATTTCGAGGGTAAACCAATAAGAGGATGTGTTCGGGTCACACTTTTTACGGTGCATTATTTAACTAAAGGTAATACCATATACAGTGCATTCGGAAAGTATTCAGACCCCTTGACTTTATCCACATTTTGTTACGTTACAGCCTTAAAATTGTTTTTTTCCCCCTCAACAATCTACACACAATACCCCATAATGACAAAGCAAAAACAGGTTTTTAGAAATATCACATTTACAAAAGTATTCAGACCCTTTACTCAGTACTTTGTTGAATCACCTTTGGCAGCGATAACAGCCTCGAGTCTTCTTGGGTATGACGCTACAAGCTTGGCACACCTGTATTTGGGGAGTTTCTCCCATTCTTCTCTGCAGATCCTTTCAAGCTCTGTCACGTTGGATAGGGAGCGTCGCTGCACAGTTATTTTCAGGTCTCTCCAGAGATGTTAGATTGGCTTCAAGTCCGGGCTCTGGCTGGGCCACTCAAGGACTTTCAGAGATTTGTCCCGAAGCCACTCCTGCGTTGTCTTGGCTGTGTGCTTAGGGTCGTTTTCCTGTTGGAAGGTTAACTTTGTCCCAGTCTGAGGTCCTGAGCAGGTTTTCATCAAGGATCTCTCTGTACTTTACTCCGTTCATCTTTCCCTCAATCCTGACTAGTCTACCAGTCCCTGCCGCTGAAAAACCTCCCCACAGCATGATGCTGCCACCACCATGCTTCACTGCAGGGATGTTGCCAGGTTTCCGCCAGACGTGACGCTTGGCATTCAGGACAAAGAGTTCAATCTTGGTTTCATCAGACCAGAGATCTTGTTTCTCATTGTCAGTGTCCTTTAGGTGCCTCTTGGCAAACTCCAAGTGGGCTGTCATGTGCATTTTACTGATGAGTGGCTTCCGTCTGGCCACTGTACCATGAATAATGTGGAAAATGGGAAGGTGTCTGAATACCTTCCGAATGCACTGTACGCCTAAGGTTTATCTGACAGTGACATACTGAATGGTTGTGGTTGGGCTGGGCGATATGGGCAAAATATCATATCATGATACCTTTTACATTTTTCACGGTATGACGGTGTTTGATGTTTTTGAATAATAATAAGTTCTAAATATGCTTTATGAGCAGTTCATAAACCTAGAGTGGCAACAAATTACAATAGATTTCAATGGGGCTTTCTCCAATCTGATTGTTTTATACTGTTCAATCCCCCCCCCAAAAAAAGAGAAAAAAAAAGCATTTTCTCATTAATTTCTGCATTTCCTGCACTTACCATTTCCACGCAGGGCTGTATGATATCTAGGCCCAGTTAAATTGGTGGAATAATGGAAATAGAATGATTATTCTAATTCTATTGTTGGAATATAGTGGGCAGCACCTTGAATACATTGTTGTTTGACATGACGAACAAATAAGCCAGGGCAGGAACCAAAGTGTTGGTCAGAAGTTTCCAAGTTACATTACCGGTACATGTTCTCTTACCTCATGTAGCTAAGTAACATATTCATGCTTCACCTATTTCTCTCTGATTTGGATGATTCCGTTGCACAAACATGCTTATCTAGGCCTACACCAGCACCAGGCTGTATTAGATAGCCATGTTTGCTCTGACTCTTAGTACATTTAGCAAGCTAGCTAGCCAGCTAACTAGTGATTCGCATTAGCGGCTAACCAGATGTATTTTAGCCACAACTTGCTAAGAAGATATAAACTAGCAGACCGTAAGATACACACAAAAAAATACATACTATTAGTTTGTGTATGTACACTACCAGTCAAAAGTTTGGACAAACTTACTCAAAGGGTTTTTCTTTATTTAAAAAAAATAAAAAAAATAAATAAAAAAATAACACATTGTAGAATAATAGTGAAGACATCAAAACTATGAAATAACACATGGAATCAGGTAGTAACCAAAAAGTGTGAAACAAATCAAAATATATTTTATATTTGAGATTCTTCAAATAGCCACCCTTTGCCTTGATGACAGCTTTGCACACTCTTGGCACTCTCAACCAGCTTCACCTGGAATGCTTTCCCAACAGTCTTGAAGGAGTTCCCACATATGCTGAGCACTTGTTTGCTGCTTTTCCTTCACTGCCGTCCGACTCATCCCAAACCATCTCAATTGGGTTGAGGTCGGGGGATTGTGGAGGCCAGGTCATCTGATGCAGCACTCCATAACTCTAATGAATGTATCCTCTGCAGCAGAGGTAACTCTGGGACTTCCTGTGGCGGTCCTCATGAGAGCCAGTTTCATCATAGCACTTGATGGTTTTTGTGACTGCACTTGTTTTTGAGTGGTCTTCCTCTCCTCCTGCTGCATGCCCACTGTCAATCAAGGAGAGAGCAGTTGCTCGACCACAGAGTCACGAGGACTTCCTTGCCGTTCACTCAGTAGTCTGCATGGTCAGATAGATGCAACAAGATGTTGACATGGTGGTGACATGCTTGCACAAACATCTTCTTGCATCCATCTGATCAACTGCTCTCTCCTTGATTGACAGGGGGCAAGGCTTGTTGGGAAGTGGCATGCAGCAGGAGACGAAGACGACTCAAGCAACAAACGGAGTAAACTATAAAAACTGACATTACACACGCCTGAGTTGCATATCACATTTAACAAACCAAACATTGAAATATCGTTATAGAAGGTAGAGTAAAAACCCAAACCAGTCCGTGCATCAATACCGGTATACAGTGGAGGAAAAAAGTATTTAGTCAGCCACCAATTGTGCAAGTTCTCCCACTTAAAAAGATGAGGCCTGTAATTTTCATCATAGGTACACGTCAACTATGACAGACAAAATGAGAAAAAAAATCCAGAAAATCACATTGTAGAATTTTTTATGAATTTATTTGCAAATTTTGGTGGAAAATAAGTATTTGGTCAATAACAACAGTTTCTCAATACTTTGTTATATACCCTTTGTTGGCAATGACACAGGTCAAACGTTTTCTGTAAGTCTTCACAAGGTTCACACACACTGTTGCTGGTATTTTGGCCCATTCCTCCATGCAGATCTCCTCTAGAGCAGTGATGTTTTGGGGCTGTCGCTGGGCAACACAGACTTTCAACTCCCTCCAAAGATTTTCTATGGGGTTGAGATCTGGAGACTGGCTAGGCCACTCCAGGACCTTGAAATGCTTCTTACGAAGCCATCCGGGCGGTGTGTTTGGGATCATTGTCATGCTGAAAGACCCAGCCACGTTTCATCTTCAATGCCCTTGCTGATGGAAGGAGGTTTTCACTCAAAATCTCACGATACATGGCCCCATTCATTCTTTCCTTTACACGGATCAGTCGTCCTGGTCCCTTTGCAGAAAAACAGCCCCAAAGCATGATGTTTCCACCCCAATGCTTCACAGTAGGTATGGATGCAACTCAGCATTCTTTGTCCTCCAAACACGACGAGTTGAGTTTTTACCAAAAAGTTCTATTTTGGTTTCATCTGACATTCTCCCAATCCTCTTCTGGATCATCCAAATGCACTCTAGCAAACTTCAGATGGGCCTGGACATGTACTGGCTTAAGCAGGGGGACACGTCTGGCACTGCAGGATTTGAGTCCCTGGCGGCGTAGTGTGTTACTGATGGTAGGCTTTGTTACTTTGGTCCCAGCTCTCTGCAGGTCATTCCCTAGGTCCCCCCATGTGGTTCTGGGATTTTTGCTCACCGTTCTTGTGATCATTTTGACCCCACGGGTGAGATCTTGCGTGGAGCCCCAGATCGAGGGAGATTATCAGTGGTCTTGTATGGCTTCCATTTCCTAATAATTGCTCCCACAGCTGATTTCTTCAAACCAAGCTGCTTACGTATTGCAGATTCAGTCTTCCCAGCCTGGTGCAGGTCTACAATTTTGTTTCTGGTGTCCTTTGACAGCTCTTTGGTCTTGGCCATAGTGGAGTTTGGAGTGTGACTGTTTGAGGTTGTGGACAGGTGTCTTTTATACTGATAACAAGTTCAAACAGGTGCCATTAATACAGGTAACGAGTGGAGGACAGAGGAGCCTCTTAAAGAAGAAGTTACAGGTCTGTGAGAGCCAGAAATCTTGCTTGTTTGTAGGTGACCAAATACTTATTTTCCACCATAATTTGCAAATAAATTCATAAAAAATCCTACAATGTGATTTTCTGGATTTTTTTTCCCTCAATTTGTCTGTCATAGTTGACGTGTACCTATGATGAAAATTACAGGCCTCTCATCTTTTTAAGTGGGAGAACTTGCACAATTGGTGGCTGACTAAATACTTTTTTCCCCCACTGTATAGTCAAATACGGCATACCGCCCAGCCCTAGGTTGTGGCCATGAAGAATAGAACTGACTGACTGGGTGGGGCTAAGATCTTGTCATCACCAAAACAAAGACAAAGTATTCAACGACGATGAGGATGATTCATCAACAACGACAGGCAAATGATGAGACAACAATATAACCGCAACATGCAACAATTTCAAACATTTTACTGAGTTACAGTTCATATAAGGAAGTCAGTCAATTGAAATAAATTCATTCGGCCCTAATCTATGGATTTCTTGACTGGGAATATAGATACAGTACCTTAAAACAAAAACAAAAAGCATGAGCGTGGATCAGAAAACCAGCCAGTATCTGGTGTGACCATCATTTGCCTCATGCTGCGCGACAGAGTTGATCAGGCTGTTGATTGTGGCCTGTGGAATGTTGTCCCACTCCTCTTCATTGGCTGTGCGAAGTTCCTGGATATTGGCGGGAAACTGGAACACACTGTCGTATATGTCGATCCAGAGCATCGCAAACATGCTCAACGGGTGACATTTCTGGTGAGTATGCAGGACATGGAAGAACTGGGACATTTTCAGCTTCCAGGAATTGTATACAGATCCTTGTGACATGGGGCGGTGCATTATCATGCTGAAACATGAGGTGATTGCGGCGGATGAATGGCACGACAATGGGCCTCAGGATCTCGTCATGGTATCTCTGTGCATTCAAATTGCCATCGATAAAATGCAATTGTGTTTGTTGTCTGTAGCTTACGCCTACCCATACCATAACCCCACTGCCACCATGGGGCACTCTGTTCACAACGTTGACATCAGCAAACCGCTCGCCCACAGGAAACCATAAAACGCTGTCTGCCATCTGCCTGGTACAGTTGAAACCGGGACTCATCCGCGAAGAGCACACTTCTCCAGCGTACCAGTGAACATTTGACCACTGAAGTCGATTACGACGCCGAACTGCAGTCAGGTCAAGGCCCTGGTGAGGTCGACGAGCATGCAGATGAGCTTCAATGAGACGGTTTCTGACAGTTTGTGCAGAAATTCTTCACATTTTCATCAGCTGTCCGGGTGGCTGGTCTCAGACGATTCCGCAGCTGAAGAAGCCGGATGTGGAGTTCCTGGCCTGGCCTGGTTACACGTAGTCTGAGGTTGTGAGGCCGGTTGGACTTGCTGTAAATTCTCTAAAACGGAGGCGGCTTATGGTAGAGAAATGAACATTCAATTCCTCCAGTCAGCCAAGTCATACCAATTGCACACTCCCTCAAAACTTGAGACATCTGTGGCATTGTGTTGTGTGACAAAACTGCACATTTTAAAGTGGCCTATTATTGTCCCCAGCACAAGGTGCAACTGTGTAATGATCATGCTGTTGAATTAGCTTCTTGATATGCCACACCCATCAGGTGGATGGATTATCTTGGCAAAGGAGAAATGCTCACTAACAGGGATGTAAACAAATGTGTGCACAGAATTTGAGAGAAATACGCTTTTTGTGCGTATGGAACATTTCTGGGATCTTTTATTTCAGCTCATGAAACCAAACCTTTACATGTTGCATTTATTTTTGTTCAGTATATTTATATAAATCGGATCCGATATCTAACCATGCAAAATAGATCAGGTCTAGAATGTCTTTGGACAGAATATGCGTGTCTGTACCTACAAAAGAGAATATCATACCACTATGAACAACTTCTCAAGTCACATTCAATCAACAAGTAATTTCACTGTTATTCATTAATAACATAATTACACATTAACAAATAATTAACTTGTGCCAATAAATCACTCCTACACATGTAAACTACTAGTCTGGTTGATACCAAAGCCCTCCTGACGTGGGTCGCTTCAGCCAGCCCCGTAAACTACACTCATGTAGCGAACCTGGTGCACCTTAAGCTGTGTGTGTCAGTCAGCCTCATGTTAAAGAGATTCTCCGGTACTTTTGTATAATTCTTAGCCAGTAGTTCTGAAAGTAGCGCTCACGAGCCAAAAATGGTCCCCGAAAATGGCATACTACGTCACATATGTGCAGAGATGTGCATTGCGCTCTCTTTTGCTCTGCTGTGTGCAGATCTTGCTTGTTGTCACTCAAATGACGAGGTGCTGAACCTCATTGGCTAGAACTCAAATTGCTAGGGGGCTGGCCCACATGGGGGAAAATGTAAGGAAAATGGCGCAGCACAGCTTCCAGTAAACAGTCACTTTCAAACTAGGGATTTCGTGGCTAATTGAGGTAAGACAGTAATTCTGCATGTATGAACTACACATTCACGCATCCATGTCCTTAAATGCTGCTAGGGACCCAGTCATATGACCGAGGCATATGACTGACTAAGGCGCTCTCACTCATGCGCTTGCTTAATCCCGTTGGCCTAGAGGGTACTCTGTAGGGCTGACCCATTCATAACTGAACCCCATGTTAGGAACCCTATGAAAACACTTCTTCCTAAATCAATCCAGTTTACATTATTGGAAAGAGGCCTGAGGTTTTTAGATACAGTTACGTCCCAATGTAACAGCACAAGGGGGTTTCTCTCCTTACAAAGCACAAACACAAAAACTCTTATCCCCACAAAACCCCTCCCCGTCAGTTCACACACACATTCCCACTCACTCCGCAGGCTCTGGTGTGGCAATAGTGCTGAATCACCATGACTGTAGAGAGCCTTAAAGGTACAGGCACGTACACACACCCTTGTCTGCGTCTCATTGGTGATAGCTGCGAGGGTGCATGGGCAGATTAATGAAATAAGGGAGCGAATAGAATAGAAGAAAATAAAAGGAATGTTTACTTACTTGGGGTTGACTTTAACTCCGGCTTGATCCAGGCCGATCTTGCCTGTACACGCGTCACGCCCAACGGCTATCAACACCTGAGGGAGGACAAGGAAGTCACCGGGTTAACGGGACCATTCTCCAGCTGTAGCATGTCATTAAAACATACAAATAAAGCCCCGTCATCCCTACAGAGCAAGAATGACTCCAGTTTGCTAACAAAACTTCTTATAGTTATAGTTAAGGCTCAAAGACTGACAATCATGCAGAGTGCCTAATGCAATAGGTTAAAGAACTACGTTTGCAGATTTAAGTAACAGTATTGGTTTCATTCATAAGTGAAGATTTACTTTGGCTAATGGGGGTTAAGGGGATTTTACTGCGTACGTACAGTGTTGTATTCTCCCTCGATGGTCTCGTCACTCTCTGTGCTCTTGGCTGTCACCTTCAGCCTCCCAGGAGTGCCTGCCTCCAGCTCCTCCACCTGACATACACACACACACACTTAAAAACAAATATCTTCCATACAATTCATTTTATATCTAGCTACAAAATTCTCTCTATAATACTATAATGGCCAGGGCCGGGTGAACTGAAGGCATCTTTTACTCTGAAAGATCAAGTGGTTTTATATTTAGTTCACCTTCACAGGCTAACATCCATGACAGTTAGACTTAAACTGATGACAGGATTCTTCCGATAAATAGCGAAATATTACATAACTTCCCTGATGACAGAGCGATTTAGCCTCAGCATTTCCAAACCATAAAAAGGCCATAAAGCTAGCCCTGAACAGCTGAGTAAAGATAAAAGGGCATAGTAGTAGTACCTTGGTTGAAATACTATTGAAATAATTTCAAACACTAGCTGTGCTTGATTGCGCTTACCTGTTGCAAGGGAACCAATAGAAAAGTCCCATAAGTGCAAACTTTACCCAGGCTAAGGCAAACGTTCAAAGTATTTGAAAGACTTCAAATACCATTTGAACCCAGGTCTGGTAGTAGATCATTCACATTGGCTCACCTTGACGGGGACGTACTTCCGGAGGAACTTGACACCATGCTCTTCCATGTGCTCACCGGCACGGTTGGCCATGTCCTGGTCGAAGCCCCTCAGCAAGATGGAGCGCACCATGACCGTCACGTCCAGGCCCAGGCCCGCAAGGAAACCCCCGCACTCCAGCGCCACGTAGGACGCCCCGACCACCAGGGTCTTGCCGGGGCAGTGGGGCAGCGAGAACAGGTCGTCGCTGTAGCATAGACAGGGGAAGATCAGCCAGAGTAGGGTGCACCTCCATTAAACCCATAATGCTCTTAAAATGTATAAAAACGCCACAATTCACCTATTCTTTCTGCGATCAGCAAGTGAAATACCTGGAATGTCTGATTCATTCACTAGACCAGTTCTCACCAACCGGTCGATCTTCAAGGCATTCCTAGTCGATAGCCAAACATTTGTAGAAAAGCCAACGATAAAGCCTTGCGCTACTATTTGTTTTAAATTCATCCTGCATGGTTGGTGGTAGGTGCACTTGATTCAGCTGCACTGCGCGCCGTGTAAGCGAAGTGTTCCCATTTAGATCCATTTCATTTGTCAAAAAAAAAAAAAAAGGTACAAACTCTGCGGACCCGGTTGGCTAAATCAAGTGCACCTATTGCTGGCCAATCGGACTCGGATAGCTCAAATCACTGTGCCTGCAGCTTCCACAGCAAAGATTGATACTAAGTGAGATATTATCACTTTTAAAACAATGACCAGAGAGAGACTCAAAGAATGTAGCAAAGAGCTGCTGTTTTTATGAGTGATTTCATGTTTAAGTTTTTATTCAACACTTTACAAACCATAAAACGTGTTTCTCCCTACTTCCACTCTCGCTGCAACCAACCAGCACTGCAGCTGCAATGAATGAGTAGCCAAGGTAGAAACGATACAGGTGGAATAATACAGGTGGAAGACCGTGTCCCCTCTCTCTGAGCAGTCTCACCGGAGGAAGGGAGAGAGCAGGGACTATGACCCTCTGCTGCCCTTTCCCGCCATTTGTTGAGACTAACAATCAGAAAAATCCAGTAAAACAAAAAAGCAAATTTAAAATCATGCTCAGTTTACAACTGATCTATATAGCTCAAGTTTAGAAATATAATATGGTCTGAGAAGAACAATATTGGCAGGCCAAATATGCTGTGATAATATATTAGGCCTACTGCACAAACCTCATTCTTACAGAACAGTTTCTATTAGGATAATGTTGCACAGGCTTACATTTTTTAAGTCATGTTTTTTTTTTTTTTTTATCTGAGTGGTAGACCTCGGCTTGGATTTTGACTGCGAAAGTGACCTAGACTCAGAAAAGGTTGGTGACCACTGCATTAGACAAAATAACTTACATATTTACATTACATTTACGTCATTTAGCAGACGCTCTTATCCAGAGCGACTTACAGTTAGTGAGTGCATACATTATTGTTTTTTCATACTGACCCCCATGGGAATCGAACCCACAACCCTGGCGTTGCAAACGCCACGCTCTTCCAACTGAGCTACATCCCTGCCGGCCATTCCCTCCCCTAACCTGGACGACACTGGTTATGTAGTCTGAAATGTGTCTGGGCGTGAACTTTTTGAGGCCAGTCGACAAGTATGTCCTCTGAAAAGTTATTCTGTCACAAAACAACTATTAGGCATAGAATCTGGTTTAAAGGTACAGATATGGATACCAGGGTCTGTCCCTATGACATGTAGGTTAGCAAAAGCCACCAGCATAAAGGGATTAATCTTCTAGAAAACCTGTGTTTAGACCGTTGGGAGATTATAGCCTTATTAAATGAGTGACCTGAGATACAAGACCTCCTGTGGTGGAAATTAGATATTTGAGCTCACCTGGGGAGGTTGTGTGTGTGTGTGTGTGTGCACGCGTTCCAGAGCACAAGCTTAGCTGCAATGATCCACATCCCTTATGTCCATCAACATTTCAACTGCATGTCAGTGTAAGATGGGAATTACCTGAACTTGTCCAATGAGAAACTCGTTTCTAATTCCGTTGGAAAGGGTTTTACTACAGTGTACTCTAATGAAACCACCTTGCAGTGTGTTTATACAGTGCATTCGGAAAGTATTCAGACTGACCTTTTCCAAATTGTTACGTTAAAGCCTTACTCTAAAATGGATTAAATAAATAAAATATCTTATCAATCTACTCACAATACCCCATAATGACAAAGAGAAAACAGGTTTTTAGAAATAAAAAAACAGAAATACCTTATTTACATAAGTATTCAGAACCTTTGCTATGAGACTTGAAATTGAGCTCAGTTGCATAAGATCTATATAAAAGTTCCCACAGTTGACAGTGCAGGTCAGAGCAAAAACCAAGCCACGAGGTCGAAGGAATTGTCTGTAGCGCTCAGAGACAGGATTGTGTTGAGGCACAGATCTGGGGAAGGGTACCAAAACATTTCTGCAGCATTGAAGGTCACCAAGAACCACCAAGACTCTTCCGAGAGCAGGCCGCCCGGCCAAACTGAGCAATTGTGGGAGAAGGACCTTGGTCAGGGAGGAGACCAAGAACCCGATGGTCACTGACAGAGCTCCAGAGTTCCTCTGTGGAGATGGGAGAACCTTCCAGAAGGACAACCATCTCTGCAGCACCACCAATCAGGCCTTTATGGTAGAGTGGCCAAACGGAAGCCACTCCTCAGTAAAAAGGCACATGACAGCTCACTTGGAGTTTGCCAAAAGGCACCTAAAGGGCTCTCAGACCATGAGAAACAAGATTCTCTGGTCTGATGAAACCAAGATTGAACTATTTTGCCTGAATTCCAAGCGTCACATCTGGAGGAAACCTGGCACCATCCCTACAGTGAAGCATGGTGGTGGCAGCATCATGCTGAGGGGATGTTTTTCAGCGGCAGGGACTGGGAGACTAGTCAGGATTGAGGGAAAGATTAATGGAGCAAAGTACAGAGCGATCCTTGATGAAAACCTGCTCAGGACCTCAGACTGGGGGAAAGGTTCACCTTCCAACTGGACAACGACCCTAAGCACACAGCCAAGACAACGCAGGAGTGGCTTTGGGACAAGTCTCTGAATGTCCTTGAGTGGCTCAGCCAGAGCCCGGACTTGAACCCGATCGAACATCTCTGGAGACCTGAAAATAGCTGTGCAGCGACGCTCCCCATCCAACCGGACAGAGCTTGAGAGGATCTGCAGAGAAGAATGGGAGAAACTCCCCAAATACAGGTGTGCCAAGCTTGTAGCATCATACCCAAGAAGACTCGAGGCTGTAATCGCTGCCAAAGGTGCTACAACAAAGAACTGAGTAAAGGGTCTGAATACTTATGTAATTGTGATATTTTAGTTGTACATTTGTTATATATTTGCAAAAGTTTGTAAAAACCCGTTTTTGCTTTGTCATTATGGGGTATTGTGTGTAGATTGATGAGGGGAAAAAACTATTTAATCAATTTTAGAATAAGGCTGTAACATAACAAAATGTGGAAAAAGTCAAGGGGTCTGAATACTTTCCGAATGCACTGTATCTTGTTGTGTTAATTGAATAACCAGGGCTTTCCCCTGGCTGGACAGCAGTCAAATTGGATTGTAGGTTAAATAATTAACACGATCCTCTGCCCAGGTGTTGCTGACGCATGCCAGATCTGGATAGGTATTTTACATATCAGCTACCCACATCATATGTTATAGCAAGCTGGTGCCCGACGGCACAGTCGATGAGGTGGGACGCAACCATTGGTTGATGCATGCAACGTCTGAGCAGGGGAACGCGCCCATAGACATAATGCCTGCTGTGTACTAGGATGGAGGTTGGGAGTGGGGGGGGGGGGGGGTTGGTCTCACCTGGTGATGCAATACTCTTTGTCTCCGGGGATGCCCAGGTAACGCGGCCTCTCGCCTGTCGCCAGGATAAACTTAGCTGCCGTGTGGAAGGTCTCCTTTCCTCGCTTGTTGGTCGCCTGCGGAGGGGAAGGAGGGTGTCAAACATTCTTCACCGATTTATCTTACTCTCTTACACACTGAAAGAATAGACGTTAAAAGTCACCTAGCGTATCCCTGTCTGTTGCGTAAAAACCTACAGTATAGTTTAAATGAATCGATGCATCAATTCAAGGGTGTGGTTTGAAACCATCCACGAGAGAGACATTAGCTACTGTACTACGTGTTGTGATGCGTGTTTGTACAGAGCCATTACATATCTTTGGGGTTTGTTTATAATAAGCCAAGGAACTAACACAGCTAGTTTCAGAATACATTATGCGCTGTGCATCTAAAATGTTCATACATTTTACCCATTAGAAGACAGTCAATTAAGTATGAAAATGTAAGGCAGTAAATTCAGTATGAAAATGTAAAGGCAAGTCAATTCAGAATGAAAATGCATCAGAAAATAACCATGGTTAGACATTTGCTTATAAATTCATAGGGTGCCCACCTTGATTTTGTGCGGCTCAATGAACTCTGCGTAGGAGTTGACGTAGTTGACGTTCTTGTCGCGCAGCGCCACCCGGTAGCCCCAGTTCAACGAGCCAATGTAGTTGTTCACCGCAGTCTTCATCGTCTCCCAGTTGTGCTTCACTGTGAACCAGACCAGAATGACAAAGTCAACAGAAATGACCACACAACTATCTTTAGTCATTTATTACCCTTACTGAAAAAGTACTCAGCTGGAAGTATTACAGACGCTACCTGTCTCCTCAGGCAACTCCCAGCCAAACTTGCGGGCGTCCTGCATGGAGGTCCCTAGCAGGGCTGTCTGGTGCATCAGCTTCTTAGGGATGCAGCCCACGTTCACGCACGTGCCGCCCAGGCCTGTCCAGGGACATGGAACATACAGAATCACACATTTGAAGATTGCATTTGGATCCCCATTGAAATATACAGACATGTTGCAACTGATAACAGCGGTATTCTGCAAGGTATTTTTATTTATGCTTCGGTGGGATTGCGGCAGTTTCTGTAAGATTGTATGTCTGAAACAACCAAAAATGTTCAGTCGAAGACACGCTCGTAATATCATATAACTATCTTCAAAGTAATGACTCGGGATGTCGGGTATAAGATGAAAGCTTCTTTTAGTAATAATACTTGTTCACGCTACATTTCACCACTTTAGATAGTTCAAAACAATAAAATAAAGTTGTTAGCGCAAGCCAGGCTAATCACTCATCACTTGTTTATAACTGGAGCATTCTCGTTCTCACTTCCTGTTGCAAAGCATTCTGGTACTTGCAGTCAATAGCGTAATCCAATACAACAGAAAGATGGTACATCGTTCTCAATCTCCATCACATTAAATGTAATCCTATTACTACTACTCTGTAGATAATATCTTTAGATCATCTCAACGAATTAACTGTAAATCTTAACTCTGTAACCCATTAAAGTTACCTTATCCTCCCCCCAATAAACAACTGTTCATCTAAATCAACTGAATAGGTCTCAAAGTCCCTGAGGTAGTGCAAACTGAACATGACCTAACTAGGCCATCTCGGCCTGGAAAAAGTTACTCGATCTTCCCTAGTTTCCAGGTTTGTCTGGGTGTCATCTTCTCCGATGAGTGCAACGTCACCCACTTTCAGTGGGGTGGGCTGTGGTGTGTCACAGTGGTGTGCTGACTAAGTCCAGCAAGTAGTCTCTTCGCCAGCTATTCCAGAAGCTGGTTACAAGTCTCTGCCTGTACTTCCATCTGCATGTCATGTCCTCCTTGTTGAGCGTCAGTCGGAAATAGCTTGTGCGGCAGAGGTTTTTACCCACCAGGACGTGGGCTGATGTCAAGGACATGTGGTTCACCCACTTCATTGTACTTGAAGGTCAGAGGCCTAGAGTTTAGGATTGCTTCAACCTGTCAGGACTGTGCACATTACATTTACATTTTAGTCATTTAGCAGACGCTCTTGTCCAGAGCGACTTAGTAGTGAGTGCATTTTCATATTTTGTTTGTACATTTCTTCAAAGTTGAGCGAAGCTCTCCCGATAACTTTTCTCAGGCATGTTTGACTGATCTGATGAGTCTCTCACAGAATCTGCCCCATCAGGCTGCTGGCTCTCCAATTATCCTCCAGGCAATGCCCCTTTCTGAGAAGAACTACAAGAGTTGTGGGATTGCGTTCTACAGATTCTACAAGTCCTGACCACCTCTCTTGAACATTTTTGCATTGTCCGAATAGATTACTTTGCATAATCTTTTGAAGATTAATCTTCAGACCTAACATGAATGTCTCTTGACTGATCTGAGACCAGATCTACATCTACTGCTCTGGGTACAGCACAAGTGAACAGCGCAATGTTGGAGTTCTTCACAGAACCATTTGCTTTCACGTAGAGCGGTCCTGCAAGATCCACATCTGTGGTTATTCTGTCTTTTGGTAAAAGCACAGTGACCTTCTGTCCAGCCTTTGCTTTGAAACTCTTGCAGACTGTGCATCTAGCCACAGTGCTCTTGACTAGCCGTCTAGCACGCAACAGCCAGTATCTGTCTCTGATTGCACTAGAATGTCTCTTACTCCAGAATGCATCACCTTCTCATGATAGCACTGCATCAGTTTTTCTGAGTATCTGGGTTTGCTGGGCAGAACCCATGGGTGCTGCCCTCTGAATGGAAAGTTGGACTGTTGCATTCTTCGTCCTACACCGAGTAGTTCTTTCTTGTCCAGGAACGTTTTCAGTTCTTTGATTTTACAGTCATTGTTTAGGTTTTTTCCTGCCTTCGGTAGTTTGATCTCCTGACTGAAACGTGTTACTTTGAGACAGTACTTTTCTGCTTCAAACAGTTTGTCAGCAGTCAGTTCACCTTGTGTCTGTGTTTGTATAAGCATTGGCTATGAATCTCTTTATCCAGGCGGTCACTCTGAACACTCTTTTCAGTTTGCTGTACCCTTCGAGCTCCAACACTGGTTCAGTGATGTCTGTGTCATTTGCAGTGACCTGAACAGTGACCTGGTGACTGGACTTAAGTTCTTTGTTCACCTCTTCCGGAACCTTGTCATCATCAGTTTCCTCTGACTGATCGCTAGGTCCGTTCCACCATAAATGGCTCTGAAGTTTTGAACAGTTCGTCCTCCTTAGGAAGATCGGCTGGATTTGTTTTCCCTTCAATATATGTGACCATGACACTCGGTTGGTCAAGGACTGGATCTCTGTCACTGTTTGCAACAAACAGTTTCCATTTCTGAGCTGAGTTGCAAATCCAATGCAGCACGATCATCGAGTCTGTCCACATTCTGATCTGTGTTTGTACCATTTTCAGTGTGGTCATCAGATTGTTTGCTAGTCTCGCTCCAATCACAGCTCCCATGAGCTCCAGGCGTGGCAGCATCATTTTCTTGAGTGGGACTAGGCTTGTCGTTGTTTCTCCGTTTTGTGTTTCACCTTGCAGGTAAGCTACTCTTGCGTCACAGAACATGTGCGGTTTCCTGGTGTGGCTTTTCTGCGGCTGCATTTCTGTTCTACACCACCTTGGTATGGCAAGCTGGTGTAGTTCTGAACACCACTGTTGCCATTCTAGTGTCAAATCGGGAGGTAACTCTTCGTCCAAGCAGAGTCCCATCTCCCACATTTCCTGGAACATGCACTTGATTCTGATGGTAAAGGGGGTCAGAAAGCTGATAGGGTCGAAGATGCGTGCAAAATACTGCAAAACGCTTCTCTTTTTGTTCTCCTTTTGCTTTAGAATGCTCAGTAGCCGTCTGAGGTCAATCAAATTAATCTGTTTCTTGTTTCCACACTAAGCCTAACACTTTCAGCACTGCTCCGTGTGTTCCTGCCCCCAACGTGTGGTCAGTTGTCGTACTCTCCTCCCATTTTGTTTTCAGCTCAGGAGAGTCATCCACTTGCAGAGGTCCATGCTTGCAGTCGATAGCATTTGCTTTGCAGTTGTCACATAGTTAGCCTTTCCAACATTGTGTGACCTTGAAATTAAGTAATCTACATAGAGTGACTCAATGTCCCTCTACAACTTCTGGTTGTTCTGTTTTGTATTGTTTCAGGTGCTTCCTGATTGTAGCTGCGAGCAAGAATGGACTTGGGGAAGCTCCAAGCACCACTCTAGTCATCATCAGCCTACATAGCTCCTCTTCATTTTCTCAATTTGGTGACCCACAGGAATCTCTCGGCGTCGCTGTCTCTCTGCTAGGGATATCTGCAGAAAGGCTTTCTTGATGTCTGCCATGAATGCGATCTTGTGCAGTCTGAACTTTATCAGAACGCTGAGCAGACCTGGATTGATGTGTTGTCCTTGGGCACATCCTCTGCCATATCCTGTTGTAGGTAGTCCTCCACTACTGCTGTACAATGTCACATCCTTCTTCAGTCTTTTCCTCAGACCTTTAAACCGTTTTATGGCGATTCTGTAGTTGTCTCAGGTTCTAGATGTTTTTGTTCTCATGGCAACTCCACATGGTATAGTCCATCACTGGTCCCTACACCGACCATCCAAAGGTGCTCTCTAAAGCAACTAGCATCTGTCAGTCTCTCCACTGTCAGACACTATCTGCCAGTAGTAGTCTGCTCCTATCAGGACAGAGAGTTAAGGATCGTCATCTCCTGGAAAGTCTGCGAGCTGCAGTCCTTTCCTCTTGAGCTCATGTTGAATCTGCTCACCAGGAACCTTCCTCAAGGCTGTGCATCTTTTAGTAATAATACTTGTTCACGTAATATTGTACCACTTTAGATCATACAAAACAATAAAAGAAAGTTGCTAGCACAAACCAGACTAATCACTTAATTGGTATTCTCATTCTTTCATTTCCTGTCGCAAAGCATTCTGGTACTTGCAGTCAATAGAGTCATCCAATACTAACCAATGATACAGAAAGATGTACATACACTATATATACACAAAGTATGTGGACAACCCTTCAAATTAGTGGATTCGGCTATTTCAGCCACACCTGTTGCTGCCAGGCGTATTAAATCAAGCACACAGCAATGCAATCTCCATAGCCAAACATTGGCAGTAGAATGGCCTTACTGAAGAGCTCAGTGACTTTCAACGTGGCACTGTCATAGGATGCCATCTTTCCAACAAGACAGTTCGTCAAATTTCTGCCCTGCTAGAGCTGCCCCGGTCAACTGTAAATGTTGTTATTGTGAAGTGGAAACGTCTAGGAGCAACAACGGCTCAGCCGCGAAGTGGTAGGCCTCACAAGCTCAGAGAACGGGACTGTCGAGTGCTGAAGCGCATAAAAATCGTCTGTCCTCCGTTGCAACACTCACTTCCGAGTTCCAAACTGCCTCTGAAAGCAACGTCAGCAGAATAACTGTTAGTCGGGAGCTTCATGAAATGGGTTCCATGGCCGAGCAGCCGCACACAAGCCTAAGATCACCATGCAGAAATGGTTTGTTGAGATCGGTGTGGAAGAACTTGAGCCCTGACCTCAACCCCATCAAACACCTTTGGGATGAATTGGAACGTCAACTGCGAGCCAGGCCTAATCGCCCAACAGCAGTGCCCGACCTCACTAATGCTTGTGGCTGAATGGAAGCAAGTCCCTGCAGCAATGTTCCAACATCTAGTGGAAAGCCTTCCCAGAAGAGTGAAGGCTATTATAGCAGCAAAGGGGGGGACCAACTCCATACTAACGCCTATGATTTTGGAATGAGATGTTCGGCGAGCAGGTGTCCACATACTTTTAGTCATGTAGTGTAGTTCTCGATCACATGAAATGTAATACAATTACTATTGTACATACAGTACCAGCCAAAAGTTTGGAGACATATTCTTGGTTACTACATGATTCCATGTGTTATTTCATAGTTTTGATGTCTTCACTATTATTCTACAATGTAGAAAATAGTAAAAATAAAGAAAAACCCTTGAATGAGTATGTATGTCCAAACTTTTGACTGGTACTGTATGTCAATAATATATTTAGATAATCTGAATGAATTAACTGTAAACATGAACTTGGTAACCCATTAAAGTTAATAAAATGCTGGTTGAAGAAGAGTGACACATGAGGAGTACGCCAGGGAAGCCCTACTCACCCCAGGTGTTCCCTTTCGGCGTGGGCATCACATAGTCCAACACCATCACCTTCTTCCCCAGCATCGCTGCCTCCTATCCCAAGAGAAGCACAAGAAGGAGCACATTTAGACAACTTGATTAAAGGTAGACTCAGCGATATGCAGAAAGTAAACAGCATAGTGGGTCAATTTCTGCAACAACTAAGAGCGTTGAAGCGCGAGGCTCAACTTCTCCGCTGTTTTGGTGCCCTGGCTACTACGCGGTGAACAGCGCGAAGCCAACCCGTGCACATGTGCAGATACTGTGTGTGACTGTGTGAAAGCGAAGTCTTGCATCTCGCTCATCTCAATATCTGCGGTGCTGCTCGTGGCAACTTCATTTCACAGAGTCTACCTTTAATACAACCACAGGTCGACTAGCTCAGCTTATATGGTTAGTTTCATCGCTGCTATGATGACACATCAGAAATCCTGTGTCTGAAAACATTACTAGCAGTCATATCCTTGCTCCCTCCATCGTAACTTCCTCTCAAAGCTCTTTAGAGGAGAAGGTTTGAGGGAAACCTCAGATCCTCTCCTCCAATCCGTTTTGAGAGGAATTGAGGAAACAAGGACAGGGGAAGCAAGGATTGGATGGCTAGTAACGTTTTCAGACACAACCCATGATAGCCGAGACTAGAGCCTTCCTTCAAGGGCCTCAATCCTAGTACACTAGAAAGGTGCAGGCCTGGAGTTATGCTTGGTTTGAGATGCATTATCTGGGAGGCTCTCACCTTTGAGCAGGCCAGGCCTCCCGATCCGCCCCCGATGACGATGAGGTCGTACTCGTAGACCTCATTCTCCCCGCACAGTAGCTTCTGCAGGATGCCATCTTTGTGGGCCTGGGAAGAGGAGGACGACAGGTGGTCAGCTACCATTGTGAAAACAGCATTAACCCAACAAAATTGTGCATGGCTGTGAGGTTATTCTACATTCAATAGCGATGCCGACACCATTCATACCGGAGAGGGCATTCTTCATGCCACATAAAATGCCTTCGACGGAACTAAACCAGCATTTTCAAGATAAGGGCAGGAGACAGAACGTATGTAAATTTAAGGATAATAATACATTATACACTGAAGGAGAATGTGTTGGTGGCTTCAAGTGAAACATAAGCTAGTGTGTCATGCTGACAAAGTGCCACCTTATGCTAGTCCCCTGTAGCTCAGTTAGTAGAGCATGGCGCTTGCAACGCTAGGGTTGTGGGCTCGTTTCCCACGGGGGGCCAGTATGAAAATGTATGCACTCACTAACTGTAAGTCGCTCTGGATAAGAGCGTCTGCTAAATGACGTAAATGTAAATGCATGAGCTAATTGCAGCTCAGTGCAGAGGGAAGAGGAGACTTTTGGGTGTTCTTAAGTAGCCATTTTTATGTAAATAGACGTTTGGCAGTGGTATCAGGCTCTTAACCACACTTGACCCAAATAGATCCACTCAACCCTTGTTTCTGGGAAATGGAAAAAGACACTTCAGTAATATTACAATGCAATTAAAGCCTGTAGTGGGCATCATTTACCACATGCTAAAATGCAAGGGGAACCTATGACATCAAATGTAAATGTATCTTTCTTTGCCAAAACCTGACATTTTAGCAGAAGTTTGAGGTATGGGCTCAGCTGGTACAGCATGGTGCGTGCAACGCCAGGGTTGTGGGTTCAATTCCCACTCGGGACCAGTATGGGAAAAAAGTATGAAAATGTATGCACTCACTAAGTCACTCTGGATAAGAGCATCTGCTAAATGACTCAAATGTAAAACATCAAAACAGGATAAGCCCAAGATTCTAAAAGTTGGTGGCATTTGCAAAAACACGAGTGATATGACAATGAAGTTGTTCTTGAAGTCTTACACTACAACGACCCATACCTGCATTGTTTTGTCACAGCCGCCAATGTGGGTTTTGTTGACGAAGACATTGGGGACAGTTTTCTGCCTGGTCATCTCAAGCAGCAGTTCTTGATAGTTTGATCCATCCTCTAGACACAACAGTTAAGAGATGTTAGCAGAGTAGCAGCTAAATGTATATGAAATTAACCATTCATCCACTGCTCCTTTCATATCTCTGACATGTACACTAGGGTCATATACATGACATTCATACAAACAGTACATGTATAAACATTACAGATGTCCCCGACAAAATAACAACTTGAAACAATGTATCAACTATTAACTTGCAACATTAAAAAAAATATTCTGGGCACTCAGTTTCCTGTACCAGTGAGCTCAGGACAGACACTGCTGTAGGCCTATTTGCGCAAGGGATAAGAAGTAATCAGGTAGGCCTATCTTATGATGTTTCCACTGGATCAGAGCATGACATTTTTCCCTTTCACACCGAGTGGTTATCGAAAGGGAGAGAGCTGGAAAGATTTTTCAAATACATTGAGGATATATTGTCATTCTCAATTATGTAAAAACAGACTTTGTTTGGTTGCTGTTTGAGGTGAAGAAAACATTACTTTGAGAAGCTCTACACCGCATTAGTGGTGATGTGTTAAGCCAATCAGAAATAGTATCAGATCCCCAAAATGGGCACATTTATATGCCTATATTTGTGCACAGGCCAGGTAGCCTATAGGCCTACTTCTAGGCGTAATCAGGTGCGCGTCCTTACTCAACATTGACAGGCGCGCTCCAAACAAAAGACAATGACTAAATTGACAAAACTTGTAAATGGAATGAAATAAATCAAAACTTGTGTTGCATAGGTTGTGCGCTCTGCAAACAACGTGTCCACTCCGACAATGAGAACAGTAAAAGACTGGAATAATAATATATTGAATGCATTAACAGAAAATAGCATAACCCAACAAACATTGTAGATTAGAAATTATAGGAATGAACAGTAAATGTAATACTGGTGATATATGTAATGTGGAATTGATCAAATGCAAACAATCAAATGCAAACAATTCACAGAATGAACTTATGAAACAATGAATGTGCACAAATTGGCGGGAGAGAGCGCATTCTAGAGAGAGACGTGCATTGTGCATTTTAGCCACACCTCTTCTTCTTGGCCTGTGTCATCCCCACGGCCTCTGCAATCGATTAGTCTCCGCAATGGATTAGTTCACTGAGATGGTTGCGAATAAGACCGGTGTCTCGTGTATCATAAAAATATATATACACATTTGTAGTCCCCTGTAGCTCAGTTGGTAGAGCATGGCGCTTGCAACGCCAGGGTTGTGGGTTCGTTTCCCACGGGGGGCCGATATGAAAACGTATGCACTCACTAACTGTAAGTCGCTCTGGATAAGAGCGTCTGCTAAATGACTAAAATGTCAATGTAAATGCTTCTACTCAACTAAAACAAAAATCTTGCACGACCAATAGCCAATCGACCAAACAATCGACTAATTGGGGTCAGCTGTAATAAACATAAAACATACATCAACTTCAATTCTAAGTGCTGGTAGTCGGTTCAGTCTGATGTAAATGTACTTTGGGTCTGTTCTGCAAACAAACACAGTTTGTTTAAATACACTGCATACTTCAGTACTGGCAATCTTTTCTTAGTGTATTTGCCAGAGCAATTTATGTAGTGCCCAGTGTGTATTTATACCAGAACAGCTGTGACTGGTGAGTGAGAAAATGGCCAAGCATGCAGAGGATCGAGAGATGGAACACTGCCAGATAGATCAAGGGAGTGACTCAGCACATTTTGTGGTGGCCCATTAGAAACATTGACAGTGCATTCTGTGGTAAAACATTAACATATTGACTATGCAAGTAAAAACCATTTTAATTTGTGAAAGGGCACCCATTAGCCTCTTTTTACCTTCTGATCAACCATTAACAACTGAGAAATATCAGATAATGCAATAAGGAACAGCTTTAAGGTGAACTTGAGAAAAAAAGATGTTACTACGATAACAGATCCTGTACATATTTTTTATGTTTCACCATTCAAAAGACATATTGCAAATGTGTGTATGGTCCATCAACATTTCCCAAGTACACTTAATTTACTAATTTAGCCCTTGCACTTGAGACAGTCCACACTGACTGAGCGACAGTATAACCAGGCAACTGGTCAGGAGGTGTGGACCTTTAGTAAAGTACTACTCAATACCTTTTGAACTTCCATTGAAGGCAATTTGCTAATTCAATGATATCCCAAAACGTATAGCCAACTTTACTGAGGCTAGAAAAGTAGACCTCATGTAACGAAGAGAACTACATGTCAGACTTTTGAATAACGGCCTTCCAAGAAAGACGCTTGCCACCACTTTCCTGTGAACAATTCCTTACCAATTAGATCCAGCTCCACCACATTGCAATTCACGTTCAGTTCCTTGAACAGATCCTTCACCTGGAAAGCAAAACACATATGCTGCTTGAATCCCGTTGTTTTATCTTCGCTGGATTATCTATCTAGTGTGGTACTGTAACGTCAGTCATTTACAACTGTCTTGAGAAGCTAGCAAGTAGCCGGCTACCTACTAACTAGCAAGCTAGGTAGGTAGGTACACACAAAATAAAAAACACAAATATTTTGGACTTACTTTCACACAAAATGGACAGTAGCTTTTACTGAATACCAACACTTGGTTTGAATCAATAAGCGCCTGTATCCGAGATTTTAGTTGATTCCTCCCAGTGTCATTGTCGATGGGAGGCATTTTCGGACGATTTCTGCCTGGCTTGCCTCCTGGTAAGCTTCAATTTGTGGAGAGAATAGCCAAACTCCCTCCAACACGCAACCTAGCTGTTAAACGATGACCCAGCAAGTCCAATTTCTTAACTGGTTGTCCTTGCGAATCACAGATAGAGAGAAACTACCTTGCTAGCTAGATATAATTCCAACAAGTCAATTTTTATCCTCATGTCGTTTCAGCGCCCGCCCGGTACATCAACCCCGCGAAATGTCTTCAGTAAATCTTGTTTAAGAGGTCAAAGAGGAAGAGCCGAAGCGAGAGGGTTTACTCCGCCCAGAATCTGTCCACGTCAAGCAGATCATTCATTATTAAGCAAGTGAGGAGTTTTTGTATTTTATAAATTCGGATTAATATCACGTGTATGGCAATGAGAGTGTCGATTTAGTCAAGATAAAAATTAATAGCTATTTTCGTAATGCTTAGGTTGTTACGAGTGTACTGTTTATATCGGAGTTGTCCCTGTTGAAATTATTAGTATAGGCATATTCATAACGCTAGCGTAGCATCTCATTCTTCACTGAATTACAGGCGGTTGACGTCAACACCACTCATCAAATATTCAAAACATTATTCAAACAACGAGATGTATCCACCAATCCAAAGAGAGGAATAGGCGGGAGCGACAGCCCATCGTTCCGCTCTGTGGACAACGAATCCGTTTGTTGGGGCGGAGACACAAGCATCTCGTCATTATATCCAGTACCTCTGGTAAAGTCTGTATAAAGATCGGGGGGGGGGGGGGGGGATTTATGTCTGTTTACATGCCTGAATGTATACTAACCCTTGTTTCAAACCTTACTCTGAATAAATATATTTATATGTAATCCAACTACATTATAAGATTAAATTGATGAAGCAGTGAAATTGTTATTGATAATGCACGTGATATTAATCTGAATTTATAAAATTTTTGGAGGACGCGGACCAACAGGCAATATTTTCAGACAGCTATAACATTACTTTTGACAGGGTTTGTTCTATCCCCGGATCCTTAGGACGTCCCTAACCCATTGAAGTTTAAATGTAAAATGGTTGAATTAAGGGTTTCGGTTAGGTATGGATTATGGTTAAAGTTAGGGCAGGGTCCCGAGAACCGAGTTTGGGAAATGCTGGGTTAAGGTTTAGCACTGAACCTTTTGAAAGCATTCCTAATCTTAGTCAGAGACGGAAGAGGAAACGAAACATCCCACTCCCTCATTTGTTCGGTTTCAATGGAAGTCAATGAACTAAATACACCAGACCCAGCTGCTATCGAATTGGTATCTATGGGAGAGCCACCCCCCTAAGTAGCCAGGAACTGACCATTTGTTTAAATGGAAAACGACCTGTGTTCACTATCTTCATTTATCCACCATCTTCGTCTGAGTCGCTCCAATGAAACATCCTTGATAGCAGAGAGGAAGAGTCAATCTTTGCGATAGCCACAAGCAATATTATTACATTTACATTACATTTGAGTCATTTAGCAGACGCTCTTATCCAGAGCGACTTACAGTTAGTGAGTGCATACATTATTTTTATTTTTCATACTGGCCCCCGGTGGGAATCGAACCCACAACCCTGGCGTTGCAAACGCCATGCTCTACCAACTGAGCTACATCCCTGCCGGGCAGTCCCTCCCCTACCCTGGACGACGCTGGGCCAATTGTGCGCCGCCCCATGGGTCTCCCGGTCGCGGCCGGGTACGATAGAGCCTGGATTCGAACCCGCCACTCGGGAGGTTGTTGAGGGGGGAAAGCACAAAGAAAGACATAAATGTATCTATTTGGATCTAAGACTACTATAAACTTGACTTCTCTGGATTTGTGCTTTTATTAGGCTACATTAATTATTTGATATAATGGTTGTTGTATCTAATGTTATGCTATTGTTCAAAGTCATAATCCATTGCAATAAGAAATTCATTACTCAGTCCCAGTGTTTTGGCTCATAGCACCATCTGCTGGAAATCAAGTGTACATTTAGATTTGATTGGGATCCCCATTACCCAATGCCAATGGCAACAACTAGTCTTCCTGGGGTCCGACCAGGGCCGGTTTACAGAATGGGCAAGCAGGGCACGTGCCCCGCCCAACCCTAAAATAAATATAAAATGGGCCCCCGGAGGTGGAGGCCCCCAGATTGCTTATGACATGTTCATATGCTATTGCAAAATGTGTAGAATTGCAGGAAATTAGCTTTAAAGGGGAATCAGGGCTTGTTTTCATCATGTCCGAGGCATTTCTAGGTCAGTGAGATGTGTTTCACGCATAATTGCCCAGGAGGAAGGCAGGTCTGGGCTTCGCATGCTGAATGATACACCCAATGATGACTTCCGGTGTTTTGAGATCTGAAAATAAATGTAGTCCTGCTTTCAGCGATGCTCCTATCAGCAGATTCATTGCTAAATATACAAGTGGACACCTTTTTTCCACTCTCTGAAAGACTACAACTCCTGTGGGGCGGTGCTTCATGCTCTGGCCCTGTCACTCCCCAAAGGCAGGCTTTTTTGAAAGGGAGGCAGACACTAAAAACACAATTCTCTGGGCAAAACTGAAAGAACTGACCAGACCACAATGGCTTCAAGTGATTCCTCTCATCAACACTAATTCGAAGATGGAGCTTTTTTTGTTGTTGCTACATGGTGACATTCAACCATACATGTTTCAACCGGAATATAGCGAAGAGGATTTGAAACAAAGAGTTGGATTTAGCTAGAAGCTCAGCTACAACCGATGCCATGACAAATACAGTGGCTAGTTAAGTAAGTTATTTTTCTGCAAGCCACCTAGCTAGCTAGCTAACTTTAGTTTATCTACGGAAACCCATATTGTGTATGCTGGCTAACGTACTACTGTGTTACAGTGGGGGAAATCGAATTATTGTTCTGTTAGCTAATTTAGGTAGCTAGGTAACTAGTCTATAGCTAGCTAAGTTAGCGAAACAACTACAAGTAGCCATATCTATTATGACAAAACATAGAAGAGGTTTTACAATCAGAGATCTGTTATATCTCGATTGTAAAACCTCTTCTCTTTTTAGTCGTTGATATGGCTACTAAAAAGCAAGCTATAATGTTACAACCAGCCACCTAAAGCTAGGTTTACCAGCAAATGTTAGCACATGACTAGAGTTGGCTAGCTAGTTAGCTTGGCACCTGCTAACTTGTTACTATGCGCCAGGCCTCCCGTTTGTAACTTTTTAGCAGCTGTAAATAGTTTTACTAGCTAGCTATGTAACATAATTGCATTTAAAAATCACAAAATTATAGGCATGACGCAAATAGGGTTACAAACAGATGTAAATAACAATTATTGGCTATCCAGCAAGCTAGTTAGCTAAGTTTACTAGCTAACAATGATGAGAAACCTAGAAATGCCTCGGACATGATGAAAACAAGCCTAGTTCCCCCATGGTGAAATCCCCCTTTAAAATGTAAATAAACAACATACACAACACATAAAGTCACACAAAAGAAAGCCAATTTGCAATTTTATTTGATAGAATGAGAGACACTGTCTGCAAAAACATACAGTATTTTTTGTGTTTTGATGTTACCTTTTACATGCACTGAAACCCCAAAAAGTGTCTTAAACACCAATATTCAGAGTGAAGAACCACTTGTTTCACTGTTTTAAAACACATTCTGTGTATCATAACACTTATATTGGATTTACAGCCTCCAAACACCAGATCTCAACTTAGGTGCATTACTTATCATGGTTTCATTACACAGTGATGGTGTTTTGAGTTTTTATTTTAACACTGCATTGGATTGGGTTCCTTTAACTAATGGTAGGATTGTATCTGGCACAGAAACTATTGGATTGGTTGCCTTCAACCATCTGGAACTGCATGTTGTAATAGAATGAAATGAAATAGAATAAGTTGTGACACTTAACTATTGTTTGACTCTTTCAACATGACACTGAAACCCCCCCGATAAAGAACCCAAAATATGAGCTTGTTTTACTCCAATGTTTTGTGTGACACACACAAATGTGGTCACAGTTCACGTGTTGAGAAACAATATTTGTTACTTTTGAGCCATCCACAGTGGGTTATTATTGTGGTCCTCCATGTTTTACATTGATTTACATGTATACCTAGTGCTACCACGAGAGGGAAACGTTCTGAGTGCTGCTACTGCATGCTCACGCTGAGACAGAGAAGAAGCACTGAAGAAAAAAAGCTATTTTTCTCTCTTTGTGTAATTTCTTTTATCTTGCTTTACAGGTTTGTACTATGTACAGTATAAGCATATGTATAACTTTGCAATCTGAAGATGACATGTTCAACATACCCAACCTTTGCAACCCTAATTATGGCTTAGTAAAAACGTAGACGTTTTTCCTATTCAAATTGAACGGACAGTAAAAGAGTATGTGATCTGTTGTTTCTGCTGCTGGACAGTTGGGAGTAAATATAATAATGTTTTCATTTATATATTGAAACAACATAAAATATCATTTGTTTTTCTGAGGTATTCCAAATACTTTCAAATATTATTTGTTTTCCTGAGACCTGTATGCTATTAGTTGATTAGCTATATTCAAACCAACTAATCGACTAGCGGACTAAACTCTACTCCATGTTAAAGGAAGTTTCTGATGAACTTCACCAATGGCGTGGAGCCGAGAACAGGCTTTGTGGAATATAGCTCCGACTACATCGATTTGGCCAAGGTCAATACTTAAATAAATGTACAGTACATTCTGAAATGCCCACCTTGTACCTATGTTTGTCCTCTATAGTTGCGTGCCTTTCTTTGTTTGCTGAACGCCATACTTTTTCAATAAACATTAATCAAATACCACCACTGACTGTTTCCTTGTTGAGATTCAATGGGCACATGTACTGTACATTTGCATTGAGTTGCCATTTCAGAGCACTACCACTATTATAACTTATTTCATAACCATAAATACTTTGAGATAAACTAGCAAGCACACACATTTTCTTTAGGAAATGCACTTTTGTACTAGTTGCAGTTGTGACTCTATCCACTTGTCTTCGACAAATGTCATTAACGCGTACATAAACTATGCTTTTTCTTAGAATGAGTGAGGGAAAACCATTCTATTTAAAGACTTGGAGTTCTTATACAAGCACTCTCAGAAGACTTTGTACAAGTCAGACAGAGAACAGCACTCAGGCAGAGATACAGAATTTTTTAAACTTTTATTTAACCCATGGAAAAACACATTGAGACCTAGGTCTCATTTACAAATGTGCCCTGGGAACAATACAGAAAAGAAACACTGGTAGCTGCATTCATGTAT